TGTTTGGAGAGTTTGAGATATATTTCGAACAGAAGGACCCTAGTATTGAGCGCACATATGTCATCGACTCTACCGAACAAAGGCCATTTTTGCGCGACCCTCTATTTCCAGTTACCCGGGAACTTCATCTTAGTCCTGAGCTTACTATTGATCCACCTGCTAGTAAGCTTCTAAAGGTCCACTGTGCTATTGCACATATTCTGAAACTCAGCGGTGCGGGAGAGTATATAGAGAGAACGCTTCGGGAGATGACTGAAATCTGCGTCAGCGCAGATGGCTCTACAGACCTAGGACGCCTTGTTAGATCACGACTGGGGAACTGGTCAAATGTACTAACTGTTTACTAGCTCGATTTCTCTAGTAACTAAGTTGTGTGATACTGCAAATGCTCATACAAGCATTAGTATAGGCAATTTGAGAATAGCTATCTCGCGAAAGTCTACTGTCTGTATCAAGGAATCCTACTAAAAAGATAATAGTCCTCCCTTAGTCGTCTTCTTCATATTCTTCAATTGTTACGCCAGCATGTCGAAAGTGACCTTCAGCGCTGCCTCTTTTTGCACCAATAGTATCGACACATGTTTGCAGGAAAGTATCGAAGCCCTGGTCAGGGCAAGTTTCGTAGTGTTCCCAATTTCGCTTAATATAAGCCTTCAACTCGGCAAAGAATTCCTCAATAGGGTTCAGGTCGGGTGAGTATGGCGGGAGGAACAATAGTTTAACCCCGGCTTCAGAGCACATCTGCTTGACTCTCTCGGAGTGGTGGAAAGATGCATTATCCATAATTAGCACAGATTTTGGCTCTGGCCATCTTCCACAGTGCTGAAGTAGCTGGCCAATAAAATCCTCGAAGACGACAGCATCCGTTGAGCCTGTGAAGACACGGGAAAGAAGTATACCGTCTTGGGCGTAGGCAGGTAATATCTGATAACGTTGGCCACGATGGAACTTCGCCACTTGGACTGGTGCCACTCCCAGTGGAGACCAACCCGTCCTTCTAAAACCTATCCTCTTATCACATCCCGACTCATCAACGTAAACTAGCTGGTACGAATGAAATTCAGAGAGCTTATGGAAGTAGAAGTCTCGTAGATCAGGGTTCCGTTCTCTTGCTCTTTGCTGGGCTTTCTTTTTCGTCCAACCTTCGGAGGAAAGAGTCCTTTTTATGCTCGATGGCGACACTGAGATACCGAATTCGTCATATAGAAAGACTGCCATCTCTTCAAGGTATAGGCCGGGCTTTTCCGTGAGGTGTTCGCAAAGAGCTTCAAGCATCGGCGGAGTTATACTTCGTGGTCGACCCCCACGGTTAAGTGGTGGGCTTTCGCTACCAAATAAGCGTAGGTTAGTACGAATATTCCTAATAGAACGTTCACTGCATTCAGCAGCATCAGCAATCTGAGCAGTAGTAAAACATCTGCGTATCATATCGTGTATAAGCATATGCTTCCAAGGTTCAAGGTGGCGTCCCATGGCGTGCAGCTACCGTATTTTGTGGGTTGAGCTGGGTTGGTTGGGACTGATGAACTTGCAGATGCGCGGGGTGCGGATGACTGTGTATTTTTGGTACAAAACCAAACAACATTATTTACGTATGTTTGGTTCCGAACCGTATAAGTATCGTGTTCTATATATATCGAGGATTGCGCTAGCCATATGCGGATTCATGCGTAATTAGCGCCTTGGTATTAGGGTTTCAAAAATAAGCTCATCTTGCGGGGGGCGGAATGAGGTTTCGACCCTCACTGTAAGCAACGGGGAACCATGAAGTTGACTCTCTGCATCAGCACAGGATACGTAGTCGAACAGTAAGCATTTCTATTCTAACTCTTCAATTAACTGTCTGGTAGAGAGACTCAGAACATTTGATGAGACTTGTTCCAGGTCATGTTCTGTCTCTTCGTCTCTGGTAGATGCTGATCCGAGCAAACCTAACGAGCGAGACTCCTCAGGCTGGGGTATGATATCCTCCAATGTCTCCTGGATCGGAGGAGGGTAGTACATTGCCTGATGACGTAAGTTTGACTATAGGAACAGGCCCTCACGGGACTTACCGTGTTGGATAGTATATTCAGCCATTGTATCTCTGAGGATGAGTCAAAAACGTATATCTGTCCAGTTTCCTGGATCCGAACAGCCAAGAAGACATCGGATTCGCACTCCAAACTGAACTCTGCTGCTTTCTTCAACAGGTTCCTTTTACGTCTGTGTCGCTGTTGAGCTTTTGCCCGAGCACTGTCTGAGCGGCGCTTCTTTACCCACGACAATTTCTTAGTCATCGCTTGATTTCAACCTGATGGATAACTTGGAAATTCTATGAGTCTGGGGTATCGAAGATGGTTATATATCTCTATTCCAGGCGCTGAGGGCCGCTGCGGAATCGTTGCGCTGTATAGGCCTCTTTCCTCACAGACAACGCCATGGTTCAAGGAGCTGTACCGCAGCGAGGTCGTCGTACGTAGCTATTTCTACTATAAAAGTCTCTACTGTCATTACCAAATTTTCCATTCCTCCTCCATCCTCTGCTGGTCATACCTCATTTCAAACAGAGAATGGATGCTTTAGCCATCTATGCCATTGTCGCTGGCGGTATCTTTGCTGGTCTCTTCCTGGCCCGGACTCTCTCTACCCTCGCCAAATGGTCGACCTTTTTTTCTATCCTGCTCACTCGACATCTGACACTCCCTTTTGTCGTCCATAGGCGTCAGCTCGTAGGTCCTTGGACCCGTGCCAGTGTTCTGCTTCACGTATCATACGCTGCAATTAATGCCTTTCTCGTCTTTTTCGAGGCGGACTCCCTGACTGGCGCAGGCCGCCGTGCAGGAGAAGTAGCCCTAGTCCACCTGATCTTTCCTTTATCAGCCATCCACCTAAGCAATGTAGCCGACCTTCTAGGCATCAGCTGGCGCACTTCTCGCAAAATCCACCGTGCTACCGGCTGGATGGCCGTCGCTCTGCTGGCCTTTCACGTTGTTGTGGCGATTCAGGACCACGGATTTAGCTTTCCTCTCAGCGAAATGCAAAACCTCTTTACCATGATTGTATGACTCACCACTGGTATTGTTTCATTTTAACTGACTGAAGTAGGGTGCTGTCTCCCTGGGTGCCGTTGCTCTGCTTTCCATTCCATGGTTTCGTCGATGGTCGTACGAGATTTTTCTCCGAAGCCATCAGCTCTTCACCATACTCTTTGTCTATGGCACCTGGCGGCATCTACCATCCGCAAACCGGCCGCCCAAACTTTATCTTCTTATCGCATTGGCGCTATTTGGAACGACTTCATTCGTAGAGTTGGTGACTCTTCTATATCGGAACGGGCTGTTTGCGGGTCGCGGTTGTCCAAGGGCCATTGTGACTTTTAAGGTGAGAGAAGCGAAGGAGGCCGATCCTGTTGTAACAGCTACTCAGGTTCGCATTGTCTTACCTCGCCCTGTGACCGTGGAGGCTGGGCAGTACATCAATCTCTGGATTCCGTCAGTCGGCATATGGTCGTGGACGCAGACACATCCTTTCACAGTCACATCCTGGTCTCGAAGTGCACAGGACACCCTGGAGCTTCTGGTGCAGCCGCGCCGTGGTCTATCAGCAGATCTTCTTCGCTATGCTCCTGTGGCTGCACAGAGCTCGATTTCTTTCTTGGCTTTATTTACTGGTCCTCATGGAACGAGTGAGGATGTCAGTCACTATGAGAGCGTCTTGGCAATCGCTAGTGGATTTGGGATCGCGGCAGCAGTTCCATATCTGAAAAAAATGATCTACGGCTATAATACCTGCACATCGCAGGTTCGCCGTTTACATTTGGTGTGGCAGGTGGAGTCAATTGGCGAGGTCGCCGCGGCTCAGAGCCTGTTAAATAACCTGCTGGAAGACGATATCGTAGATGAAGGCTATGTTCGTATTAGATGTTCCCGCTGGAGGCTCCCAACTGAAACTGACAATAGCCATGTTTCAAGATTCTCAATATCTCTATATACGTGGGGAACGGCCTCGAGCAGAACAAATTACCCTTTGGTCAACATGAAAGAGTCTGCCTTTACCGGTCTGAGCCAGATTATGATAGCATAATCTCTCTCGAGGCATCGGGCGACCAAATCGAGAGGCTGCCTAACATCTGGGACGAGCACGGTCGGACGTTGGTAATGGGTAAGGTTCTCGAGTTTCCTGTGATTACGTGCTGAACTTCTTCCTAGTCTCTACAGCGGACGAGCTTCGAGACCAACTACGGGAGACGGTAAAAGCATATCTTCATCGGGGTGTGACACTTTCAGAATTGGAGTATCAGCCCAGCGCTGACTGAGAGTACCGTGGAAGGTGCATGTTGAGCTAGTGTTGGGAGCGGGCCATGGAACAGGCTCGCGGATGGACAGTTTCATTACGTTGATCGCCGTACGGTTTCTGGACGAATAAATTACCAGACGGTGGGAGAATCAGTGGTTGAAAGACGACTAAGTGTCATTTTCTGGAAGGATGACGGAGAGTAACTTGACTAGAGCTGTAACTTTCGGCCAGAGTCCAGCCCCAGACTTTTGGTTGTATTTTTGGTTCTTGCTCTCTGATTTGCAGTAACCGATGACACATTTTGAAGGGAGATCATTTTTGGCGCGCAGCTGCAGGTGGGGCTAACGTAAGTGCTTGGAATTCTGGTTCAGGCCACGAGTTTCTGTCAGGAACGCTCGCTTTTGAACGCTGTTGCACACTGTTGGACTCGGTTGAACTCTTTTGCCACCTTGACCACGCTCGGTTTTCTGAGGGCCTCTTTTTCTGAGGGCCTCTCTTTTCTGCTGGTTGTCATTTATTTCTATAAAAGCAAGCCAGGTTCATCCTCTTTTCAAGATGTTTTCAAACCCTCACTGTCGTTTCCAACCCTCGCTGTCATTTCCAAACCTCCGGACGCCAACCGAACCACTTCTATTCCATCGGTAACTTCCCCATCGTCGCTGGTCAGCTCCTTTCTCTTGTTAGTCGTCTCCATCATTCTTAGGTGGGCTGGTCCCACAAGGATGCTCTCCCTCACGATTGGCGTCCCGGTAAGTATCCCTAATCCCATGTATCTCACACGCTTATCTTTCGCCTTATAGGTGACCGATCACAATAATAGATTATACTTGGATGATATCAAGTATTTTGATGTGAGAATATGTTATCTCACATTTTTCGTTGTTTATTCTCACCTCAGCCCAGTTACTCCACCGGATTGGCCCGAAACTGCGACAGATCGGATCGTTGGACGTTTCCCAAATAATAATTGCGCTGGGGTTGGCTGAAACAAACGGGGGTATCCGGTGGCACAAGCTTCACTCCGATGGATTGATTAGACCGTCAACAGACTGGGGTGTGAATACTTACCAGATCTGGTTCGGCCTAGTGGTACGTTTCTTTGTCTCTGGCATTCTCAGCAACTCGTAATGTGGGCAGGAACCCGGCCATGGCATGAATCGCGACGTTCTTGACTTGCCAAGTCTTTACAAGGTCAGTCGGCGAGATTTCAGCTCCTCTCTTCTCGAATGACCCTTACACCGCACTAGCTTGTTGAAGACCTTGGAGTCGATTTGAGAACCTTATGGAAGTTGGAGAGGACCTGGGTGGTCGACATGTTTAAGAGGCTTAACGCTCTTTGTTTTGTGAAGGGCCTCGTTATGGAAGGCACTGTATTGCCGGGACAAGCGCTTCCTGAGATTATCTCTGCTGGTAACGCTTTCAAACCCCTGTCCGGATTTTCACGCTTTTCCAGCATTCTTACCATGGAAACATATACAGCCCCATCTATCCCGTCTATTCCTCCCCCGTCTATTCCTCCCCCGTCTGTGCCCCCCCTACTGATGAGCGATCCGTTACCGTCGAACACCATTTACTACCCCACAGATGCCGGTCTCGAATTTGATTGGGCGATACAGGATCATGGCATTATGGACCCAAGTACGTCTTCTCCCTCGGTGCCAAATACTGTCGATGGGGGTTCTTCGATGGTTGCTTCGCTACAATCTGTCCATAGACCCACAGGACCCGATGCTGGCCCTGCGTCTTACCCGACACCCTCTACTCATTGTGTCAACCCTCCCGCAGCGGGCGGGCCACTCGTCTCTCCGAGTGCTTGCTGCAGTCCACAAGTCTACCAAGTGGTCAATGCACCACAGTCGGTCAGAACCCCTGTCTCAACTTCTGCAACGACGCCCGTGGGTTTTGCGGATACGCCTGGGTCGGATGCAGGTGCTTCTTCTTACCCGACGCCTTCTACTAATTATGCAGACTCCCCTCGAGTGGATGAGCCTACTACCCGCTTGAGTTCTAGCGTTTTGCCGCTCAACCAAGCCGTCGAAGCACCGGAATCGACACGCAACACGCCGACGCAACAGCAGAGGCGTGAGCAGGCGATTATCAGATCGTTGCAATCGTGTACATTTACGAAGGAGAACGTGTGTCTTGGTACCGAGAAAATCAAGAAAATTATTAAAGCGGGAGCTCGCCTTCTCACACAGGATCATGTCAGAATCTTGCGGCCCCTCTTCGACGGCGGAGCTGATATGTCATCCAGCCTAAAAAGACTTGGACTTCCTGAAGAATGGGTAGGTATAAATGGAGCTGTGAATTACCTCAGGGTGCTCGAGAAAGACAAGGACAAGAAAATCTCTTTTTCCCTTGATCCCTTGGCGAGGCGTGTCGCGCAAGTATTGCTCTATCTCAATTATGAGTCTCTGCGTAAGAAAGGCGAGGAAGATGTGGTCACCCGCATCCTTGACGCCTACCACGATGATCCTAACAAATCCAAGGGGAAAGTATACCGCCAGAAGAACTTTCACACTTATCACGTGCGCTTGGGGAGATGGTGGTGGAGGCTTGCAGCGCACTTGGGATTGGGCATCTTGTTGGTCGCTGATGATGTAGCGATGAACTTGTAAGTGGCACGAGCAGCTCACTGTGGCCCGGCTAACTCAAGCGTATAGGTTTAGTAACAGTTTCACTGATGATCAGATTGACGCGCTCATTACCTTCGCCTTGCGCACTCGCCCAGGCACTATTCACCTCTATCGTTCGCTGGCGCCAGTGGCAAAGTCACTCTTGAGCGGAGAGCTTCCAGCTAATCTTCGCCAAATCTTGATGGATGCTAACAAAGGCCTCTTGAGACACAATGCGCTAGAGGAAGCCCGTACACAGGACGAGAATGCGTCTATGTCCCAGGAGATTGCGGGTCCTTGGCAGGTCGAAAACACTAAACCGTACGCGGAGAAAACCGCGACGGATTTTATTGACTCACTTACGCATTAGACACTAACCTTTTCGGGTGGTCACTTGGCTGTGCCAATCCATCCTCCTCTTCCTATATTTCTTAGTCCAACGCGCATCCTTGATACCAATGTTTCAACTTATATAGTAGACGCATTTCAATCTACAGTTATTTGCTTATTCCCACGTAGCGGCGTAAGCATGACGCTACAGTACCTGTCCAAATGTTTCTAGAAGCATTCAATACAATAAAATTGTTCAGGATTGACAGTCATTTCAACTTAGTCTTTTTTTTTCTTTTTTTTCCTTTTTTAAGCTATTGCAGTGCTTCTTGTGCCTATTTTCCAATTTTCCCCCCTCTGTACTTAGGGTGGTGCTCAAAGACACTCATCTGAACTCGCAGGCGCGGACTGGGTGTTCAGTGCAGCCAATAGTATGCCTGATGCCGCCCCACTCATATCATTTGGTAAGGCCAAATGCAAGCTGACCGCTCTGGCAATACCGAGTGCCTTCGAACACAGTCGCCTCAAAAGGGATGGGGCACTGCAAGCTTTGGCCGTGTTAGTCTACGACGTTGCTTTCACCTGAATCTCTTATTACGCTTCTCCTTTCTCTTATATATTGGCTGTCATCAGCTCGTTGGTGTTGATTATCATTTACTACTTTCACAGTCTGTCCTTTGAAGAAAAGGTGGTGACATTCGTGCCCTTTTCAACCCCCTCCGATGATGATGTGTACGAGTAGAATGTGCGCGCCGAGATCAGTGCAAACCAAGCGAGGCCGATCAGGTCGCCAGTTGACCAACGGATTTCAGTCAAGAGGCGTTGCTGGGAGCGAATGAGCAGTTTCCAAAGCCAAAGAGGCTGAATACGAACCCGTTTTAGTTCCTCAAAAGAGCCAGCCGACGTCGTCGCAGAGAGGAATTCAACAGCAGCTGAGCAAGTCGCCCAGCGTTTGAGATTGTCGATTCCAACCGCTCCATCATCCTTGACGTATTTCTGCATCAGTTCCATCATTACCCGCCCCACAGGAGCCAGGTCGCTCGCTTGAATCCTACCCGGCGATCGAACGGAACAGCAATCAATTCGTGCTACGCGTTCTTGTTAGACCTTGTCGAGCTGGCCTCAAGTAATGAGATTACCAATTTGAACCTCCCCTTCAAGAGACATCAGGATGCTGGAACAATCAAGAGAAGTGTGCTGGAGGTTTTGCTCGATGAGATACGATAATCCCTCCACGAACTGGGAAATGGTTAGTGATCCTTGTGTCCAGGGGGAAGAGGAGAAGGACCTGAGACATGATGGCGGCCAGCTGCTGCTGGTTTGGGAAGGCTTTGCATGCGACGACATGATCTAGGGTGAGAGGGTGGAACTTGCTGAGAGTATATAGGGCATCAGAGGTATGAAAACATTCCCAAACCGCGATCACATTTTTGTGGTGCGTCGAACGGAGAATGTCCAGTATTCTGTTGGCATCCTTGCTAGGATACTGGCGGATCGCCCAGACGGCACGGCGACGAGAGCGTCGGACACATACAGCAACGGTGCCAGCCAGATCGCATTCGTAGCATTTCTCGAAAGTATCCCAGGGAGGCTCCTGTCGTATAACTAGATCTGAACCGGCACTGTTTCCTGACTCGCTAATCTCCGGAAGAGCCAAGGCTCGTGGAGAGCCCTGTATAGTCTTGCCGCCGGGCTCTACGGAAGATGGAGCCGCGGTTCTTTTGACCAGGCGGCCGTTGGATGGGATCGCTCCCCTGCGTTTAGCGTTGAGCTCAGGCGGTGATGGCACCACAGCTTCAGTATCAGCGGTGGATTTTCTGGGAGCAGGAAGTGCATCCACTAGAATTTGGGTGACCCGTTTGTCGTCCACAGGCCGCATGATAAAGATCAATGATATTGCAATTGGACTGGTAGACGTCTAAGCAGGAATAATGGGATGCACTCCCTGTGAGAGGGAGCACTTTAATAGTGAAATAGTGGCTCAAAATAGAGCTGCTGCGGAAGCCTGAGGGCCGCTGCGGGAACCTATGTACACCATAGATATCCTGCGCAGTGCTACCGCAGTGGGCGAGCTCTCATCCTGTATATATTTTAACACAAAACCAGCTTTAGCATGGCACTTCCTTTCAGCTTCATCTGCAATGCAGCGAACTCTATTCACTGAGGAAGAAATCCGGCTGGCAGCGGAGCGCCGCCGGAAATACATGGGAACTGCCAAGGTCATTATCAGTCAAATACAATTCGATCCTCCATTGCCCCGGGATCTTGACCCAAAGAACTTGGACCGGCTCCGCGAGATCTTCCGTAAAAACCGCTGCCGCCGACTGGATGTGGATAATCACGTCCCTGCGATTGTATCTCAGGAAGATCTCGCTGTTGCGCTGCGGAAGGCGGACGTTCCGCAGCGAGCGCTGCTGACTAATGATCCTCATCAACTTCCGCAACTGCGATTCGCGGCTGGACAGCTGCGGGCCCTTCATGGACGTCACCGAGTGCAGGCGGGAGCCGAGGTGCTTCCTCCAGCTGACCGTTGGTGGACAGTAGATCTCTACCTAGATGGTATGGCGTAGTAACCATCGCTTCATATGTACTGTGCTGACCATCGACGCAGATATCGGCGAAGGACTGAGAACCTCACTGGTGGAGGAATATGCAAACCAGAAAAAACCGACCGACGGGGAAATATATCGGAAGATTCGACAGTATGAAGGCGACGGCAATGAAGCTTTCCGGCAGCGGTGGTTTGTCCGGCTATCACGAAGCAATCAGGAGCGACTGGATCAGCTAGACAACAGGAAAAACCGACGTCTCCGGCTAGCCTTCGATCGGTTATTGCCAATCCCGGGTCTTTGGCCGCATGGGATGCGAATCAGCATGCTTCACCGACTAATCGCCACAGGTTGTGTCGAGGTGAGTTCTGTGATTTAGAGCGAGCTTCCCACGCTGCTGACTAAATCCTTACCGCCCTGTAGGAGATCCTTACCTATCTTGGCCATATCGGGGACTTCTGGTCCTCGCTCGTGGCCTCAGATCCAGATTCGATGAAAAAGATTGATCCAGACACTGTTGATGCCCTGCAGTTGCTGGCGCCGGGCAAGTCCAGAATCGACACAAAAATGGCCCGGGGGCTGGTGCTAGGTGGCCAAGCATTCGCAGATTTCAGTGACGAAGAACGAAGGGTCATATGGAAGCGGCTAGCAAATTTTGACGGGCTTGTTCCGTCTTTGTACACATTCTTTGAAGATTTCAAATATCTTGAAAGCTGTGCGCATTGTGTGAAGCGACTCTTTAGTTCGTCAAGCGAATCTGTGTGGAAAACCATGAGCTCAATTTTTGTTCCATATTCGGGTTCGGAGGTGGAAGAGAGACTTATTCAGACTTCCGAGTCCACTTTTCGGCGTGAGCCTGCAACCGATGCTGAGCGCCTTGATATGGGGTATTTACAAATCTGGCTGTACGCAATGCGACATTATCCTCTCATGCCCCCGGACCCGAAGAGTGACGACGACCTTTTGGCAAAGTCATCTCGTGCCAAAGCCGACAAGAGAGCAATCTATGAGATGGCCGAGCTTGCTCGCCGGCTCGGGTTCTGGTCCCCAGAGATCGAGGCAATAATTGATGGTTCCCCAGATCGTGAGATCGCGCGGGCAGCGCTGCTACAGGCCAGGAAACCTAACCGTTTTCGGTATGACAAACGGCAGCTTGATACCCTCATCAGCCGTATTGTTGATTGTTTCTCGGCTGCGGTTCCTGACCAACCCGAAATTGTTCATGAACTTCTCGCGGATAGCACCGTGAAGCCTCGGGCCCGCTGCGGCCTGCCACGAATGCGAACCCACAAGCAAGATAGCCCTTTGCTCTTCGTGGACCGTCTACACGCTGAGGTTGGGGTTGCAGACACAATCACTACCTTTTTTGTCCGCCGTTGTGTTTATTTCGCCTTCTTCGGGAAGCCTGCACAACCCGGACCCGCTGAGGGCGAGAACAACAGAGAGACGCCCGGAGATAGGGATATTCCTCCGCTATCACCGTTGTTCGTCGGAGAGGATGGGCCTTCCGCTCATGATGTAACCACCATGCATGCTGATCTACCACGGGAGCTGTCTCAACAGGAACCAGCTCAGTCACAGCCCCTGGGTGCCCGACAAGATGCGGAACAGCAAACTCTACCCAGCCAGCAAGTACCGACCGGACGACGGGAACAGAATGTTGCGAAACGGCGACGAGCATGGAAACTCCAGACGCGCAGGCGTGGGCTTCGCCAAGAGAGCGAATCAAATCAAGAACCCATGGATGTTGAATGGCTGAGCACAGAGCACTTGGATCAGGATATGCCCGATCAAGAAGCCCCTGAACTTCCTGAGTCAAGTCCAGTTATTACGCGTCGAGAGTCGCTGGATGAGGCAATTACGATCGATTCAGCAATGGCGGCGACGGCCCACCTGGGATCATTAGAACGCATTACTTCCGATCAAACCTCCGACAAGGGAGCGCAAGGCACTCTAAGTCTTGACTCAGACGTGCTGCAACCTATGCATGGCCCGGAGAACCACGAGGAAGCGGACACGAACAGCCAATGCACAAGGATTTCCGTTGGATCAGTCTCCCACGAGCGGGATTTAGAGGAGAGATTAATGATAGATGGCCCGCATGATAGCGATGCTCCAGACCGCACACGGGTCGATGGTCTACAGCATCAGTCATCGGAACCCGAACAAGATAGTTCAGATGTGGGCTCTGGCAGGCAACAACAGGTCTCGGATGCATACCTTGATCAATTGATGAGAGCTCAGGAAGAGCAAGAGAGATTGGAAGAAGAGCTAGAACGCGAACGACTCAATGAGGAGCTCGGTCTTTCTAACGAGGAGCAACCGGTTCAGGAAGTGTCCCCCGGGTTTCAGGAAAGGCAGGATTCATTATCCCGACCCCCTGATAACGAACCAGTACAGGCGCCACGCAGCACAGACTCAAGACCTACCCAAGACCCAACCCCAATTTCACCCCGCGAAGGACAAATGGAGCCCCAAGTGGAGAGTCTTGCAGCACCCAGTCCCACAGTGGCTGCCAGCAACCCCGACAGCCAGAGCCCTCGAGCAGAGGATGACACCCCCACACGACAGATGCGGGCGTTGCTGCCACGAGAACAGGTCGCAATTTCCTTCTGGACCTTTGAACGAGAGCAGTGGAGGCAGACCGATCGTATCCAAGTAGATCCTTCGGATCCAGCGCCGGTGGAACGAGTGGCGAAGAAGTATGTGTGGAAGAGATATTCGCTGTATGATCGGAACCTGCAAAGTCTGAAGCCCGACCAGTGTTATCGCGCGGCGACTGTCGACGGCAATAACGCAATATTTCTGATCTCTGAGGACGAAGAGGAGAGGCTTGCGGCAGAAGGACGACTTAACAAGGACAGGCAGCTTCTGACGTTGGTCTCACGAGTAGTAGACCGGACAGAATTCGAGCCAGGGTCTCCTACCAAGCGCCACCGTCTTATGGCGTTCAAGGGAACATAAATTCCATTCTGGGTATGATATACAAATATATGGCTCAACTTAAGAGGCTTACACAAACATGAGTTATAGCGCCATGAGCAAAACCTCTCAGAGCAGTTGACCACCCGAGAGGCATTTCTTATGTTGGTTTACGGAATAACTAGACCTTTTTATGTGGTATGCTACATAAAGTCATTCATGATTAGATGCTCATGGTTATGTCCTCATATAAAGGGATCTGACATGGGGAGATTGTTTCAGGAGGCATGCAACAAGAGGAATGCCCTCTTGTGAGAATCCTCTTGAGAGGAAATCAGGCACATGAGGACTCCAATGGGAGAGAAAGCCAGACAGGAAGTATCCCATTACGTGAAACGGCTCATCGGAGTGAGTACGTTCTAGAACAGCTGTCTCATGCGCAATCTGGCAATGAGAGATGTGCATATCGCCCCTTTCTAGTGCTGGGTGCTTTACGGCTAGTTGTCGCTGCGGAAATGCTTGACAAGGCAGGCACCCATGCCACTGTCCTGTGGACTGCGACAGCACTGCGGCGCTAGGCTTTAGGCTTCCGCAGCCATGTTCCCACTTGACCAGTCCTGAGGCGCTAACGCCTGATTGGATGTCGGCGAACCCCGTTTGCGCAGGGTGGTCTAGTTTCTCACATACTGGATAACGGACCAATAGATTATTATTTATGAAGCCTGCGGGGGAGCTGCTTTGTCTTAGTAGGCGTGGCGGATTTTGATTCGCGTGGACACTGGGAAAGGCGAAAGGCCGAATTACAGTCATCTAACTTAGTCCTTAAAAGTTAAATGTGACTACTTTTACAACCGTGCATTTAAAGGTGAGATTTTCTGCAGTACGATAAGAGTTTCCTCTCGCCATATAGGTATACGGTCGAGGCCAACCCCCTTGGGCATTATCTACTAAATCCAGTACAAGAGAAACGACATCGATCTCAAAATGGACAACCTGACTGAATCGATGAGAAACACTCATTTGGAAGATGGACCTGGAGAGTTAGAGCAGTTGCTATTTCGTCCGCAAGCGGATAGTGGATTAGCGGAGAAAGCCCTGGACAATATTCCTCGTTACCTTTTTCGCGTCGTCTCTCCTCGTTCTGATGGAGAAACAAATAGGATATGGGCCCGTTCAGAGTCGGCTTACCGAAAAAGGAGCTCCTCTTTAGAGGATATTTTCTTCCTCCTAGACAAGAAGAAACGGACGACCATAGCTCGTACACTCAACGTGCATCTACGATGGTGGCCAAAGGAAGGTTTGGAAGACAATTTTGTATCGTGGACGAGCTCGTTACTTTTCGCAATTCAGTACATCTACTACCGGCGTCTAAGCAGCAAAGACGGATCGAGTTTGGAGGATATCCAGTTATATGTCATAGATACGAAACGGTTTCCAATAGGAACATTTCTTCGCGATTTGGACCTGATTAATGCGTTCCGCGAATTTGACGATCATGGCAAAATGAATCTTGAAAATTTACAGCTCCTGCGCACTAACTACGGCTATTACTTTGGAGAATATCTCTCACAAGGATCGTTGAAGATTAAAGACAAGTGTCAGATAGTCTCCGCCAAAGTGCTCTTCGATGATGATCGATTGCACCGTATACAACCTGAATTTACCAAACGCAGCGACATATTGGAGAAAGGAAAAGCAGAATGGGCGAATGAAGTCGTTCGTCTTCGAGGTATCATCTGGCCAGTCGACAAGGCAAAAAGATTGCCAACAGCAGAAATACTCGATCGCTTACGGGCTATTGGAGAAATTGTAGCCAACTTTGAACCCGAGTGGAGATTCGCTCTTGCTATCTACTTTGCAGCATTAACCGGCTGCGAATCAGTAACAGATGATCAAGAAACGGCAAATGATAATGTCATTTTTGCATACTTTCGATCCGAGTCTTTTAACGGTAAGTTATTAAGATCCTCTTTGGACAGAAAGTCCAATTTTCACTGCCGCTGCGACAGCACTCTGACGAAGAAAATATATAGACGGACGACAGGGGTTCCAACCTCTTGATTCCAACATTATTGCACCAGACACAATGCCTGAACTGAAACAAGTCAAAAGACTCGCTCGTGAAATACACAAGGACTTCCTGTTGAGACAGGCGTTAGGTAGGAGCTGCACTGGGCATCAAATTTCTCTCTCTTTTTATTTTAACATCAAAACCAGATCTGACCGGTGCTTCCGAAGCAAATATTCGCCATCTACATACGCAAAATGTTTTCTCAGACAGTGGAAGTGCTTTTACTGTGACCGATTCGAATGAGGTTTTGGCTCGTGCTGGCGAAACTCTCTTGATAAGGCTTCGCACTGTACAAATGCTGTGTGAGGAAGTTGCACGAGCCATTTCACCAGATGGGGCATAAACGGTGCGATTCCGTTCTAAGGTCTCATTGTTCCAAGGACCTCTATGCCACTTATCTTCCAATGGACAAGCAAGGTTAAGCAATACTTTTCTGAACTTCTGTAGTGTCCGTTGTCATATAAGCTTATCCTCGCTTTCAGTACTACTACTGGAGCCAACTATCTTAAAATAAGCCTCAGAGTCTGTACAGTCATCGTCGTAGTAGTAGTATTCATACGCTTGTTGTTTTGAATGCCCCTTCTATAAGAGCTCAACAACAATTCTGAGCGAGTTTTTTCCTGGAACGAGATCGAACAACGCAATGGGGGATATAGAAGGCGAAATTTACACGCTCAGGAGTTCGCCATGATACGAAGTGGGATGACCTTGTAAGTTAATCATGGGCAGGCCTCACATTTTCCCTGCTCTTGTACCATATAATTTAATATGGATAGTAAAAGGGAGAGCATTGAGAGAACCCTTGGCCTGGATTTGTTATCTGATTTGAGAAATATCCCTGTACCTGCATAGTTTATCCCCTTGTTCGTCCTACGTGGATGAATCGGGCTGCGATAAGCGGGCAGGTTTTCGGCAAACCGGCTGTTCCCCTCTTGGTGTAACGCGGATATCCACTAGCACCACTGGTTTAGAATCAGTGAGATATGACACGATGAACATTTCAAGGCTTGAAGACATGAATTGCCGTCAGGCAGTACTTACTCGTGGCATGCAACTCAAGGTAGACCTCACGCGACAACATTCACCTCAGTGCAATAACAATTTTGGCCTATTAAAGAAAGCGTAGCTCTTCTCCACTGAAAGGGTCCTTGAAGTGGCAAGGTGTATATTGCTCGAGCTTGACACTTTTAAGAGCTACCTTCAACTCCTCCAGAACATCTGCTGCAAAATCTGGTACGTCTCGAATTTCGTTGGAGAATTTAAAATCATCGGAATGTAGGTACGCGTCTACTGCTGCTTTAGCAAGTAGTAGCCGAACCAAGTGTCCTCTAGGTAAGCGACTCGCTGCATCAACGTGCCCGGACGTTATGTGATGGACATTTGTTTCAGGATGTCTTTCCCAATAATTGCCTGCGGGAGGATTGGCCAAAACAGTCGCTCGGATATATTCCATTATCTGCAACTCCAAGTTATTGACGCTTAGCATGTCTGCGAGTCTCGCGAATTCAATCATAGCAGATATCCGATCTGCTGGAGATTCTCTGTCAAGAATAACCCGGCCAAGGTATAGCCACTGGAGAAGCAATTGAAAGCTTCGATTTGAAAGAACTCCCTCAATCTCTTCAAGCTCTGCTGACTGCTCTTCCCCTTCTGTAAAGTTCCCATTGAACATTGCAGCAAAATAGGGTGAATGTTTGCAGAGAAGCGGCTTGGAAACATTGTAGGTTGCGGCTCCTATCTTTATCTTGACTATAGGGCCATGGTAAAGAGGCATTTGACTAGATTGAGCGTATTAGCGATGAGCCCCAAATAAGATAAAGTACATTAGCATACTTTTCTGTAAAAACGTCATAGGACATATCGAGCAAGCCGCCAGCAGACTCTCCGCCGTCTCTGGTCGACATTGTGCTGTAAGCGGAAGGCTCAGCAGGCCTCTAGTCAAGTGGCCAACGCGGCTGTTTGATCCTAAAAATGCCCAGATGATTAAGTGAATGTTTCAACATCAGCTTTCGTGAATTGGTCGACTAGGGAATTGTGATACCTTAAATTCCTATCTTAGGTGGGGTAAACGGGGTGCAATGAGTCAGAGCTGCTGGGCGTCCAGCCGCGGGGTGGTTTGGCTAGTTTTCATGGGAGTCCTGTGCATCACGCATAACTTAATACAGTACTCTATACCTTCGTGGACTAGGAAATTACGGCCGTTCTCATTAAAACACGGTTGGCTCAATAATATATTCCAACAAAGTCCTTGGGAGTGGGGCAGGGTAACAATTAACGTGTGTTTGCGATGTACAATAGAGATACAAGGTTAGATATATAGTTGTACGAGTAGTAGTCTGCATATCGCTTTACCTGCGAGAGGTCAGGGTAAATGAAGTTATCCATCAACTGTAGAGTTACAAACCGAGTAGCTGACACTATCGTTCGATCTGCCGCTGCTCACAGATCGTGAACTGACCTATTGGTCATTCTCAGACCGTATACGCACAGCGAACCTTTTTAGAGAACATATTGCCTCCGCTTCTAGCCTAGCTTGAGCCAGAAAACCTTAATGGTTGGATACGGGAGAGAATATTCATATCATGTTTTGGTATTTTGGCCTCTGATCTGGGAACACTTGCAGACAACCATGGAATACCTGGACACTGAAATCATGAAGAGCATAAAACAGTAACTGAGACTTACTTTTCGTGGCCCTTAAAGCAGACGTGAGGTGGGTATCTACCTCTCCATGTTAGCCGTTCTTCTCATTGGTCCAACTAATTTTCAAAACTATGCCCCAGGTAGTGACGTACAGTTCATTTTTGGGGCATATGGTAAGATTTGGACCACCCAGAAAAGCTTCGACTCACAGAGTGTTTGCTACATATTTGGCGAGGTTCTGAAAGTTAAGGACCACTGAGATTTCGCAACGACCCCCTTCTATGAAGTTGGCGGTGCGTGTGCTGGTCGATGTGAAAGCTATGGGGGTTGGGATGGCCACGTCAGATTAGCATCTGCACACCCATCACACTTCACACAGCACCCTTTTTACTATGGGATTGGCAGAACTAACCTGTTACTAGAAACCCATTACTGCTGCACGCATATACCGTGACATAAATACTTCCAGATGCATGCCCATGCAATGCTAGTATTTTAACTCTGATGTAGACTCTTTACGCAGTCACAAGTCCTTTTGAGCGTCTAATGGCAGGGAAGAAGGGAAAGAGTAAAAAAAAAATCAGCGAGCCCAAGAATATCTGCTGGTCCAGTTATTGCATTTACCGAGACGGCAGTTGCAAAGGGCGAGGTTACCGCAAAAATGAAAGAGCTTGTCCTAAGGTGTGAGATCCAGATTTTTATAACAAGTGACTTACTCCTGTGCGCTCAGCCATTTCCTCAATCCGAAGTACAGCGATTTATCTATCACCTGTAGCGGCGAAGTCTTCCCAGCTCACCAGAACATTGTCTGCCCTTAATCGATGTATTTTAAAATTGCCTGTGATGGTCGGTTTAAGGTGTTTACTCATCCTTTTTTACCTAGGTTGGATATTGTATACCCACTACGACAGCTACTGATTGGATGTTGGATCGACAGGAAGGTAACGGGGAGATAAGGCTCAATGATCGCGACCCTATGCTCGTCAGGAAGATGCTCGAATTCTTGTACACGGGCGACTATACCTATGAAGCTTCAAATGCAAGGGACAACTTTGACTCAGAGAATATTTCCGGCCAGCTTTCACAAACATACCTGGATAAGGATCTCCAGGCAGACACAGGGACCACAGAAATACAGGGGGAAACCAGCAGTGCAAACTCACGAACCGGTCAGGCTTTTTTTTCACGCCCAAATGTACGCACAAGGTGCCTATTTTCAAATAGACGGATTGAAAATTAGGGCAAAGGAGTACTTCGAGAAGTCCTTCATGAAATTTCCAGACCGAGAATCATTCACCTCCGCGGTGCTTGAGGTGTACGGCTCGACAGAAGGCTACGACCGAGGACTCAGGGACCTTGTCATCCAGATGACGATGGATAACCTTCTGCTTCTGAGGGCTAACGACAATCCCATATTGGACGGCACCTTTTTGGAAGTAATTCCCAACGTCATGTTGGAAATTTGTCTTTCCGCCTTGGATAGATGTGCTAAGCATCAAAGGGAATATAGAGGATGGGGTTACTAAGATTAGCTCTCATTGGAAATTGTTTTCTGGGGCAAGAGTGCAATCCAGAACGTCTCAGACCGGCTGATGAGGCAAGGGACGAAGCGATATCTATGCCCCACGCCAACACCAGTCAGAAACGGAGGCTGGTCGATGTGAGCCTTGGGATTATATCTGAAAATTTAGCAATTTAGATGTAGTTTGACCCTTTAGGAGCTCTCTAAACTAATAATGGTTCCCCACACACTGGTACAGCCCTTTTGCCAACTGAACTTATCAAAAAGTTGAGGTACGGAGGGTTTTCTGTTCTGCCCCACATCCCGCAGCAGGCTAATGAGACCAATTCTAGCGGGCCGGCTGCGGCGCTAAGAGCCTAAGACACTATCATAGTTGTTGTACTGTCCCGTCCTTTCAAGGATTTGAGCTTGAACCTCATTAGACCGCATATGTCCTCAATTTGCGGATAAGGCAGCCGGGAGCGCAAGGTCTGCTGTCCATGGTCATACATCACAGTGCCTACGCACCCCGTCGTACTGCGGTGAAGCTTTCCAACGGCCAGTGTAAGCCCAAGCAGCTGAAAGATGGAATTTCAAACAAGTCCCACTGGAAACTCTTTAACGTGCCAGTGTGCCATAGCGTAGATATCTGTGGAGGTCCAGAATTGTCCGTTATGTTCATACGATGCAATACAAGGAAATAGCGGTCGATTTAGTACAGAAAAAGGCGCTTATTGTGGAGCAAATTGGAATCTTTTATTTGAAACAAACCGCAGAGTGTTGTAAATCGCACAGCTTGAGCATATGTACTATCTACAGTGTTCATATTGCTAATCTCCAGTTCTAGCCGTCATATTTCACCGCTTTGGAGTCCACATCCTTCTCGATATCCAAGACCAAAGAACACAAAAAAGCCCTTATGGGTGCGCGAGCAGGCATCCCAATGCCATACCCAGAGGACAAACGTGTAATGCTGTCAGAAACATAGTCGTATCAATGTCACCATGTTCTTCCTTAGAAGTAGGCGGGGAATCCAACTCTGTGGGCTTTGTTTTGTTTTCTGAGAGAGACTTCATTTCCATCGGAGGAACCATGGGAACCGTACCAGCACTTTGAGTGCTATTTCTTGCTTTTCTTGTTCTTGTTTTTCTTCTCGTATTTGATCTCTTCGTAAGGAGCATTGAATCCGACCGACTCCTCAGCTTTGTTCTTCGAATACCACGAGTTTGTATCTTTCGCCATACCCCCATTACGTGTATCGCGAGAAAGAAGCTTCAGTTTGCTACCTGGGACCCAGTTGTCGCCCGATCTGAAGCTGAGTGTTGTGCTCAACAGTCTCAAGCTAGTAATCCGTCCTGGACGAGAAGTACACACTCTTTCCGGATCTTATCGCAATCCTCCCTGCTCAGGCTCGTCGCACGCGGCAGTTGTATTGCACCACCAAGAAGCTTTGCTTCTTCTAAGAGATCACACAAGGATGAAAATCCACCCTTCCAACACCTCTCAATAATCCCATCCAGATCCCCTCCGTTCAATTTAGGAAACTCCATCTTTTGAAGGCGTTTAACAATTTCCGGGCCACCCTCAATCAGAGTCTCGAACTCATAAGGCTCATATCCCCTTGTCATTGAATAGATAATCGATCCGATGGCAAACTGCTCGGTTCTAGCGCCGCACATCCCAAACGTGCCGTTCTCACTTCCCGCTTCGGAACCCTGTAGACGCGCCCATGGAGGTGCAGCACCGGCATATGGCTCGCCGATACTAGCCACACTATCAAAATCTGCAAGCTTCAGATGATCCTCGGCGTCTAGAAGCAGGTTCGGCGGCCGGATGTCGCCATGGACGCGTCCAAGTGACTCGAGCCAAGAGACGGCACTGCAGAGCTCCATAGTCCACCGCTCAACCAACGATGTGGGCTCAATTCTGAAGACTTCCGTTCCATTGTCCGTATGCCTCCTATTTCTCTGTAATCGCTGATCTAAGCTCCCCCCGCTGAGATATGCTAGAAAAATGCCGTTCGGAACGCACAGGAAGTTCTGTACTATGTCGGGGCAAATATCATGCTTTTCCAGCAAATCAAAAACCTGGACTTCTCGGTTGAAGGCTGTATCATCCGGGTCCTTTGGATATTTGAGGACAATGCGGTCATTAATCCGATAGACCCATCCTACTGCCCCCACGGACAAGAAGTCATGGGAGGCCAAGCGGTGCGGTAGTTTAACGAGTGCCATGTCTAAGAGTGCTTCTTGACAAAATTGATGTAGCTTATATAGGAACAAGAGCTCAGTGATATCATTCAAAGAGCTGAATTTATATGTGTGCATGTAAGGAGTGTGTACGTTTGGTGTTGAAGTTGACGAGTGAATTTTAAGTACAAATAGACAGCTGCCCCACATGTCCTGAGACCTAGTGGGCCGCTCATTTGCTAACCCACTTTCCTGCTGGGTCCTTCACCCACGACCCATTCTGAATGCAATCCTCACATGGCACCCGCTTAGTTGACTGGCCAAGATGTTCTGGTCCAGCTTTCTGAACACCACAGCCCCCACAGCCGTCCCAGGGGATCAATGTAACTGGCGCATCTTTCAACTTGTCGCCGCAAATGTATTTAACTTTCGGTATAATGGCCTTGCACATCGTTTAAAGATCGTGGAGCAACGGCGTGGTTCCGATTGAAGTCTCCAGTACCAGTTAGTTCAAAGTTCAACCATCTGCTTTCCATTGGATCATAGCCCTTACTTTTGATAACTGAAATGTATTGTTGAAAAGGGTTGACTGTCAAAGGGCATCACCTCCACTTACCTTAAATAATGAAATATTTGCAGGGAAGCAGCTTACGGATTTTTCCAGGAGCGAACAGAGCAGCGATCAAAGCCGGCCAATCAGTGACCTTCCTTACTTGAAGGCTCAAGCGCGTCGTTCTTCTTCACCCTGCTGTTTCTCTGCCTGCTCTTTCACATCACGCGCTTTCTCGCCCTGCGCTTTCTCACCCTGCGCTTTCTCGCCCCGAGCTTTTTCACCCCGAGCTTTCTCACCCCGAGCTTTCTCACCCCGAGCTTTCTCACCCCGCCCTATCTCATCCTGCTCTATTTCACCTTGCTCTTCCTCACCCTACTCTTTGCTCTGTCTGGATTTCCTCTAACTGCGGTATACTCTGTGCTTAGAAACCACTTTTAAGATGGCGATGTACTGTCACTGGCCGTGTCCATACTGTCTCGAAGACCAGAAATCTCCCGAGGGTTTGAAGGATCACCTGAGCGTTGCAAAGGTATTCACAATCATCCGGCTTTAATTCATTACTCATGATGGATAGCCAAGATGCGAAAAAGAGGCTCCAGTAACGGAATCAACTGAAGATGACGATGAGCTCCATTGGAAGTGTCCTGTTAGAGAGTGCGGGAAGTCATATGATCAGAGAAACAGTTTACTACGCCATTACCATTGGCGTAAGTCTCTTCTCTAGATTTTCCAAAGGACGCCGCTAAATAGAAGAATTAGATATCAGGTGTAAGCTGACCTGTGCGTGCAGCAAAACACTCAATAATCTCCGGTCGCTTGAGCTACACCTGGACAAATGCCAAGCAGTACAATCACCTGACCAAGATTCAAGTGCACGAGCAAATCAAATACAAGGGGAAAAAATGAAACTACGCAAGCAAGCATCTAGTCAGTTAGCTAGTGCATTCGCAGAAAGGCAGCATTCATCCACTCAGCAGGATAACGAGAAAAAGCGCAAAATCTCCAGCTTGGTTGTTATCAATGGTATGAGTCCCCTCGACTATTCTGCCCTTTTGTGTCCCAAGAGTGAAGTTAAGGTTCCGAGATATAAATGATGATACCCCGTTGAATAACGCAAACACCGTCTTCGCCGATCCAGATCTGCTGAACTTTGATGGATTTATGTTCGGCGCACACCTTTGGTCTGACGAGAATTTTGTTGCTCCGGAATTCTGTCTCTAGGATTCAGTTCTGCCGGAAAAATTCGCTCCGAGTAAAGCCCCAAAGCCAACCCCACATTCTCCGACTATCAAACATCGTCGAACAGCATGATGCTCGAGCCGAGTTCAATTGAATCTCTGGGAACATTTAGCTCACGGAGCCAACGGCCATTTGTGTTAGAAAATTCCGGAGTAGTTTTGAATGATGATTTAGTAAGAACTATTCCACACGGCTCAGCCGTTAGGCTTCATGGCGCTCTATTACCCGTTACGTTTCCCGATGACACAGTAGGTTGCTTATCCGGCCTGCACAACAGGCAAATAACTAATGCAGTATGCAAAGAGGCTTCGAAGTGTCCTCAATGATTACTTCTCCCCAGGGACGTACAGTATCGGGTCGCTTGCGCAAATAACGAAATTCTCGGAAGGTCGATGGGCTATGTGGGACACTCAGGGCGACGAAAACAGGCTGTTTGCATACATTCCATTCCAGGACATGTATATTCGGCAAGGTTCTCATCTGAGGAGGACAGTGACGCGTGGATCTATGTGCGTGATATTTTTCATAGCCACTTGACCTCCTTTCAACCCGAGAACTAATGTGCTTCTTAGCGTTTTCTGTTCGTCTCTGTGTCCCGCAATTTATATGATTCCAGTTAGCGGGGAATGTATTGTCTTGGGGCTGCCAATAAAGGGCAAGAAATGATGTACCTCTAGTGCAGTCGTTGTTGAAGGTTGTTTGAGCTTGCGAATGACAGAGCACGAACTGGGCATCTAAGGAGCCAGAGTCTACCTGTTGGGAGGACTACACATCGTAATCATTGTTGTTATGAAGCATTTTCTGAGAAAATAGGATTAGGTGCAACAGATTGTCCTCACTCAACTTCGGTTTTATCTAGGGCCATTTGTATGGATGCTGGAACGGAGTCCGTCGTCTAGTTGAAACCTCTGCCGACCCTCAGGTATCCTGCCAGTTCAGCAACCACATCATAAACCTAGTCTTCAATGGAAAATGCTTTGTGACTCTCTAATCCTGCTCACTGCTCAGCGGGCGATGATTGAATCGTCGACCACTTTCAGCGTGACTCGAGAAGAAAATAACTGTGGTGCATCTTGCTCTGCTAGCTGCACGTAACTGCACACTGTGTGATAGATTGTCAGTTGCCTGGCTGGATAGTCCTCCTATAAGTGGAGCGCGTTGGATAGTATTTCCCAGTTCGTGGCAGTATTATGCCTTGGGTGGACCGAGACGGTGTTTCGACTTTCAATGACCTTGAGAGGAAGACTGTGGGAGGCACGAAGAGATCCAGTCAAAGCTGCGGGCTGGGTCAGCGTACAACCCCTTCTGTGTCGATCGTCTGTTTGACCCCGTTGTTGTGCCTCTCCAGGAAGAGAGCTTTCTAATTGGGGTTTTATTGGTGACCTCACGCAGTCAAGATGGACAGTCTGTGTATAGTTTGGCCGCAACGGGTCACCTGTCGCTGCGGTCTTACGCGTAAACGCGTTGGACCGTAGCGTCAGAGAGGGCCCCGTCCGCGCTCCCCTGTGGGGAGGCAAGTGTCTGTGGATTGCAATGGCTCTATGATTCTATGTACATAGGGAGGTGGGTGGGAAAAAATCGAGTCTTGACTGCGTGAGAGATGACAAGCAACTTGCGGAGGCGAGCGGCTGATTCTCGTGAGGCAGTTGCAGGAGGGAGGAACCCCGCCGTAAGCTCTGCAAGTCGGTGAAGCCTAATCCGCAGTGTGATCATCACGTGAGGCAACCCCAATAAAACTATCCCAATTAGAGCTTGAAAGTAGTCTTACAGTCTTCCCTAGTGATATACATTCACATGGAGGACATAGTTCTCACAAAACTGGCTCTCCAGATTCCTTTTTTCTCAGTGGAGGTTAGCCAATTGTGCGATATATACTCAATTAAAGCTTGGGAGAAGTCAGCATTTTGAGTAAGAATGTCTCATGATGGAGAGAATGGTCCAGGATCGTCATACATCAACCTTTGTCAAAGTTGCCGTGAATGAATGAAGGGTTTTGTATACCTGTTAGTTGCAGCGTAGCGTCTGCCGCAGTTCTTGATATCAGGCCTACATAAATAGGTGCACATGCCCTCTTCTTCATCTTCTCCTATTCCATCTTCTAGCTCCTGTGGCCCTCCTTCTCTTCTCCCGCAGTCTACTACTTTATCTACATCCATCCATACATCAACCTTGACCATGTCCGCCATGTCTAGCATGTCTCTAGACGAGAGAGCCGCCTTCGTTGAGAATATTATCCAATATGCCTTTACCAACCGCGCAATCCTCTATGAAGCCCTGCGTGCCGCCGGTAACCTCGTGTTGACTGGACGGCCCCATCGGTCTGACGGCAACAAGGACCTAGCGCTAATCGGCGATGCGGTCCTGCGCTTGATTCTTGTGATGGACGGCTACGAAGCCAACTTCGGTCGAGGCTAGTTGCCCCTCACAAATGCTCCTGGGATGAACCACTAATCGTTTCGATAGGCCGCATCGACCAGACCGTCCAGGCCCAAGCCAGTAATCCCAATCTCACACAGATTGGCTTCCAAGCCGGACTGGAGAACTTCATTCTCATCAATCCGTCTCAGAGCACTGTGTCGAACAACGTGATGGCAACAACCGTTGAAGCGATCCTTGGCGCTGTCTACCTCGATAGCGACATGAATGTCCAGGCCGTTCGAGCTGTCATGGCTGTCCTGAACCTGGGATGGCCGGTTTGAATTTATCCATACTCGTGAACGAGGCGAATCGATGACATAAGTGACTCGAAATTCGTTACTTACCGCAAGGGCGCCCAAAGGTCTTCTCGCGCGGGACGGGCTTCCAGCCATTTTGCCCCGTACGAGGGCCCTTCGGGTACCCTTGCGGTCCTGGAACGTCTGAGAGTCGCGAAAGGTGCTATTCGCTGTGGCGGGTTAGCAGATCTTACTAGCAGACGTGATGTGGTGTTGTTGTGTTGCGAAGGGAGAAGGCTCTTGAGGGTTCCAAGGTGATCAAGTGTCGATTATGCAAGTAGGTGATAGGAGCATGAAATATTTTTTTGTTGGACGATGGCTCATGCGTTATACTGTATTTGCAACACCCCGTAGTGTACGTCATAGGCTTGACCTTAAACATGCCAATGGTAATGATTAAGTAGACCATTTACAAGGAATAGAGGCATGTGGCAGCGCTTTCATAGCTGATTGGCGTCGAGGCATCTCACATCGTTATTTCAGAATAACAGGTTCTCTCCCTTCTCTGCATCCCAGGGTTCTAGAGAAATTTGTACTATCGAGGTTCAAAGGCTGTCTTTCAGATTAATCCACTAATGTCTTGTATTTCGAATAGTGGTTAGTGATATTATGTACTGTGAAAGGAGTGATGGGCAGCGTCCATTTTCTGTAAATTCGAGTCCAGAGGTGACTAGTGGTAAGCCACGCGGAGGTGAGTTAATGAACGATATAGTGACATAGAAACACTTACCTTCAACACGATGGATCATGGACACTCAGAGGAAGTAAGTTGACGGGACTTTAGAGGGCTCAAGCTGGAAGTTTTATACCCAGAATCTGAGAATCTGGATATGCATTTACATTTCCTTGAAAAGCACAGTACTCTGGGAAAGCACCGACATGAAACACTGTTGACTAAAGACTAGCCCGTTATGAGGGCTTGTCGCCGTACCTATAGGCGAGGAGGGTGACAGTCAACTCTGAGAAGACTGAGATATTCCTTACTCCCTCAGCCTAAGTTGCGCACCTTAATTTGCTTATACAAAGCCTCAAAATCTACTCTTCAGGCTTGATAATACAGGAAGGGAGTTAATTGAATCTAGCCCCTCACCTTTTCAGGTTGAACTTATGGTAAACACAAGATAGTTTTCGCCTGAGTGCAGCTGCTAAACTCTGGCACTGCCGCACTGGGAACCTTTCTGGAGTCTCCCTCGTGCTGAAATGCTTGGCAGGCACCCATGCCACCGGTTTGTGGACTGCGGCAGTGCGGCGCTAAGCTTTCTTCGGCTTCCTCAGCCATGTCCCAGACTCCCAACCAATAGTCACCAGCCTCAGCGTATCCTAACCCGCACTACTGCGTAAAAGGATGGTTGTCGGCCAACCCCGTTTCCGCATCGACCCACCCCCTTAGATTGCGGCGTTTCATGGCCAATATTTCTAGGAAGCTACCTGATCGTTTGTCTCCTGATCTCCTCTTTTAGCGATGGTTTGACAACACACTATTCGTCCACAAGGCACTGCTCAAGGTATATAGTAGATTAGTAGCTAGTAAAATAGAACATCTTATATGAGTACGTGCGTATATGCGATCTCTCTGTAAAGAACAAAACGGATTCCTTGCAGCTCTTCAACCGTAACTGACAAAGCGAAAACGATACAGAGTCATATCTTCAGTCCACATTGCGCGGAAAATGGCCTTTTCCAAGGAAGGCACTCGGTCGAGTAGTTGTCGAAAGTCAGCGTCCCGCATAAGTATTTCCACGTTCCACACTGCATAATGTACCAACATATCTCGCATGTCGTCCATGTCTTCATTTCCCTCAAATACAAACTTCTGCAGTTTGACAATATCTCCAGTTCGTTCTTCAAAGAGGGTAAAGCTGGCCAGCGAGCGAATAAGCCGATAGAGCGACAGAGCGCAAAGCGGATCCCAGTCCGTTGTGTAGGCGAAACGATAAACTTCAGCGTGGCTTAGAAAAAAGGCCGCATAATTATCTGCTGGATCGTTGTCCGGGACTTCTTCATCTTCATTCAAGGGCGCCTTGTCAAGCTTCTTCTTGATGAAGGCACATATATCGGGTAGTTTCGTGGGATGGAAGATATTTTCTTGGTGGTTCATAGGATCCCATCGTCTGGCAGATCCCCGAGACAGCGCCTGGCTATCGCCATTGTCCCCGCACGAATCGGCAGTCGGCAACGGAACGGAGTAATCACCAGAATATACGAATTCGCAGCAACGACCAAAGACGACTTCATCGATCTGCCCATTGATGGGAGGCTGAAATATCTCCTTCGGGAAAGCACCAGCCAATGCTGCGTGTATTGAGAACCGCCTTCGGTTTTTACCAATGACGAACTCGACGATCCCGGATTGCATGATCCTGGTGATGTGTTAATTGTAAGGGCCACCTGCCCCGCTGGACGATGTTAGGACCTTACACATCATAACCAAGCACCATTTTTGCAAGCATTAATGGACCTGGAAAAACGCTGGGAGTTGAGGATGGTACTTTGACTGGAGAAACATATGTCTACTGTTCAAAGAGCTTGCTTTGGTGAAAAACGTCGAGCGAGAAGGCTGACGCGCATAGTGCTTATTATACGTCTGTCTCAACAAGTAATTCCCTTATATTTTTCTTAGACCTGAATGGTGCATGGTCCTAGGTAACAATGGCTGCAGCTCCCGCAGCGGTAAACCCACGCTACGGCCTTTAGATCCTAGTGGTCGAAGTGGTCATAATTTTGCCCTCAGCGCTGAGGAATCTATGATAGGCCCAGAGCCTCCTTCGGCCGCAGCGGATTATGACTGGTCTACCACCCAGAAGATTGTTATAATTGGTGGCTGTTCAGATGTCCTGATATCAGATTTCTGGCCCAGTGTTGAGCTGAACGAGCTCCTAGCCTTTTCCCTGCCCCAGCACCTGTGCCTATGGAACGGATACCGGGTGATAAGTGATGCAAGCACGGCAGGTACCTCGAATATACCTGGAATGACCAACAGCCTGCAGTCGCAATGCGTCGCTAGGCTTTAGGCTTCCGCAGCCATGTCCCCACCCGAATGACCTTGACCAGTACCTCTGAAGCACTAACACCTTGATAGGACTGCGTAAAGAACGGTTTGTGGGCGAAGCTGGTTTCTGCAGGGACTCACAGCTTTACGTTGCCGCTTTTCATGGACAAGGTTTCTGGATAGCTGCCTCATCGTTTGCTCCTCCCTTGAAACGGCCTGACAAGCACCCTGTCCTTTTGCGAAGGCGGTGAAGTCGCCTGAAAATTAAGGGAATAATCGGTGCTTTTTGCATGTACGAAAATCTCATGAGAAGATGATGAAGCGGGGCATGCCAGATTGGTGATGATATTATATCGTCCAGAATATTGAAGATAGCAACCGAAAGACCTTCTTCTCTAACATCATAAAGAAAATAACTCAAAAGGAAGTCGTAAAGCTACTGTAACCTGCGAGCAACAAATCGTTCCAGCTTAGCCAGACAACCGTGTCCATTTAGAGGAGAAGAGCATGGTGGGACATCCTCTGCATGTTGGTAAAGTGCAGAAAGCTTTGGGAACTTTATTTCGCAGCTGGGGCATCTGTAGAGCCACCCTCCGTGCTCGAGATCATCATTTATATACTTCCGGCTCTGGTAATAATCATGGCCTATATCATCAATGTCCTCCTCGGTAGTATGCGACGCGCAACTTCCAGACTCCAGATGGATTAACATTCCGGAAAATGACTTAAAGTTTTGGTAACAACCGTAGCATTCCAGGTTTCGAGGTTGATGTTTCTGTTGATGCTGAAGAAACGGTAATGTTAGCAATGGACATATTAAACTAGCCGGTGTACTACCATTCGCAAATTGTTCTTGTTCGCAAAGTAGTCACCACATTTGACGCACAGGTGGTGCTGAGTAATGTCGTGTTCTTGCAGTTGCTCAACAGCATCAAAATAGACATTGCACTCTGGGCGAAAGTGATGAGACTTCACTAAGTGGTCTTGAAGCTCTTCGCCGGTAGCAAAGTCTCGTAGTTGAGGACAAGTCGAACAGACAATATGTCTGCTGGACTTTCGAACATGCGTGGTCTTCGCTTGAGCCGAAATGAAGACCCGGAAACACCTCTCACACCATTGATGTCGTGATGTCTGCCTGCAATGGGCGTAAAGTGCAGATTCAGAGCAGAAAATTCGTTCACAAATAGTACATTCGTAGTTGACACCATCATACGCGAGATACGGGCCTAAGTCCATATCAATTAGTGAATCAAGCTGCGGAGAGCCACATAAGAGAGAAGGAGTGGAGGGTCCAAATTTCTGAATGGCAACAAGGAGATGGATGGTTTGCTGGATGTGTTGAGGTTGATGTGAAGCGAGTAGATAGTGATAGTCACCTTGGAACGTGGATGGATAAGGGCGCAAGCCAAAGTAGGCTGCATCCATTGTATAGAGTAGGAACAACGATGAAACTGGATTGCGGGGCGAAAGGGTTTTTGCCAAATCGTATTTTTTGTTTGCTGCTGGTTTGTGCCAGACCATACAGATCAAGCCGTTTGCCGCTGTTGTTCACGCAGCAAAGGCCGATTACTACCAATGTGCAACGTGCCTCGTCCCAACCCCACTGATCGTACGCTTCTTCCCCCCCCGGCCCAATGATCTGTCCTGCAGGCAAGACTGAGGCGCCAAGGCCTGTGCTGAGGATCGCTGGCTCAGCCAGCCCTTATCTGCGTCCTAGATGTAATTAGCCCAACGCGAAGCCATTTCAAAGCGTGGTGGCCTACATTGCCACTATGAGTCTGATCTGCATGGGAATAGAACCTATATCCTGGCGGCTTGTGAATCATGCGATGAATGCTTAGACTGCTACGCAGGGAGGTAGGGAATAAATCAAAGCATATCAGGTTGTCGGTTTAGCCGGGTCCTGGATCACGAAGCACAGGATTGCGGCAAGGGCAGTCCGACAGCCCTTCTAGGGTGAGCCTGGTAACATTGAAGTTATTCCTAATATTACGACTGATCCCCGAGATTAAGGGGGATCGGGGGTGCCTAGCTACAGATATCACCGTACGCGCTAGCATACGGAACAACTAGTAATTCCGATCCGGAGGTCACGTGCATGCCTCTGTGTACTGGACGCAGAGGCACGGAGTGTAGGATCGATATTCACACACAGGTGCATTTGGCACGTACGAGACAAGTTATATATACAAGGGTAGACCTCACTAAATATACTCTACATAAGAAAAATACGCAAGCCAGGCTTCAGCGGAACATTGTACACAGGTTGCAACGACTGCATACTAGACATCCTCACATGCTATCATTGGTGTCGCAGCCTCTTTGAGCGACGCGGCGGTGGCTCTGTAACGGTAGGTTTGTCGAGATCCAGCAAGCGCGGGTCGATATTTGCTGTCGCAGGGCCGACAGAGGAAGCGGGAGTGCTAGTGCCTGACCGCCCACATGATTCCAGAGAAGCATCTGTGCTGTCGATAGAGGAAGTATCGCTGCAAGTTAGCAGACATCTCTTTGGGAGATGTTTTAATTTGATTTCGACATCATATGAGTGCACATTGACGGCATGCGCCAAGAATTCAGTAGCTTCTGTGAACTTAGGGATATTGCAGCAGGCCGCCCAGGTGCAGCTAATCCCCTCGTGCGCATGCTTGAGATGAACGTCAATGAGATGGCGACGGACTGAATCTTTTCGCCTGGGAGGGAATTTATGTGGAGGCGGATTAGATGCCGAACGACGCGACAAACCGCAACAGACAATGCAAACATCCGTTGGGCAATCAAGGGCTTCCTCTCCAGAAGGTGGTGATTCTTCCGACGCTTCATGTTCAATTTCATCGGCCTCAGCGTCATCACTCACAGCCCAGTTGATTCGGTTGCCCCGCCGGCTTGGTTCGCAGAGCTTCGAGAGCGCAACCATGTCCTTGGTAACCTGGATACGTCGTGCAAGTAGTTTATCCGCATCAAAGCACTCCGCTTCAGGGCCATAGAAGTTCTCCACAAGTCGCGCTCGCTCGGGAAAGACGTATTCCGGAATAGGAATACCCCAGTCTTCATTGTCGGAGTCGCCATCTTCACAACTTTCAACATCAGACTGACCAAGAAGTTGCTTGATCTGTCTGTCAACTTCGAGGACCGGCTCATTGTGAAAATATTCCTTTCTAGCTGTCTCGCGGGTATCCTTTGTCAGGCTCTTCCTTACCCGAGAGAGCTCCTTTTTAACTGCCTCATGTCTTTCATGCAGATGAGGGAATGACTCCCGAGCTTTCGCCACCGTACCAGCTAGCGATCGCATCTCCTCCTTTAGCTCCCTCTGCTCTCGTCTAAGCTCCAGGATTCTGGGGTCTCGGCAAATAGCACGTTTCTGCTGGTCGGTAAGACCTGACGGGGCAAGGGGATCCCTCTTCCTGAGCATGCTTCCAGCAACCCGAAGCAGACCTTCCTGAGAGGGTCGGAGAAGCACGACATGCTGGAGATCGCGGCCGATAAACTGTGACTGGTAATGCCTCTCGAAAACCGCGTCGCCGGACTGGCCTAGCACTCTCTGCCGCTCTTGGCTTGTGAAGTTCCCTGTAAGGTCAAGTTAGATACACTTTGAGGTTCTTTCGTTTAGCAAAGCTATCTTCCACGCGGGAGGACATACGATTAACTTCATTGGCAGTCCAGCGCCGGTAGTTATAATGGCCAATATCGTCCTCAAACTTAGCATCTCGACCTAGTTCATTGAGCGCTTGTCGACTTGAGTCATACGTCATCGGCAGTGACTTATGGAGCTCGTAGCCGTGCGGAGTGCGCTCAATACGTCGAAGGAGAGGGGTATCAAGGATTTCCGGCTTCCACCGGAGGGGAAGTGACTGGCGGCCCTTTCGAACTCGAAGCCGCCATATCAGATCTGGAGTCAATTCATTGAGAAAAGCCCCATCGCGGAAAGCTAGTGAGATAATTTGGTTGATTGGGCAATAAGCCATTTGATAATCACCATGCATGAAGAATTTAGTTCTGAGAAAAAGAGTTAGCCTCAGCAACCAGCTGTCTATGGATCCGCTTACCCGTCAGCGCCTTCTGGCCGGCCTTTGAGGTTGCGAAACTCAATGATGGCACAAAGGACATCACGCTTGCTATCTGGGTCTTTAAGAATGAAGAGCTCAATATCGCGGTAGCAGACTGAGTCTGGAAGATCGTCGGCCGAAACGTGTTTGGGAAGGTCGCTCTGAAAAGTCTGCTCGCGTTTGCGTTTGCCCAGGGATGACTTATGGCCAGTTTGGGAAGCTTTCTGAGGAAGCAGTACACCCGGTCGCGTTCCAGTGATGGCAGACCAGAGTTGGACTATGGCAAATTGAATAATCATGCTCCCGTGACGGAAAAATCTCGAA